ATTTTTTTGCAATTTACTCACAAATCTTGCAGGTTGTTGTGCCTATTATGCTGCAAGACAACAGAAGAATAAAGACGGCATCCGTTGTTTATTACATTAATTTATGTTTGCGCCAGCGTGAGATTTCATTAGTGAGAATGTTGTCTTATTCAAGGTCAGACTAAATGGAATGGAAAACCCAAACACACACTAACAGACACAAACACACATTAACACACACGAACCATCTGCATGTCAAATCTGTTGTGTCTTCTCTTGCCTTGTGTAGAAAGTTTTGTAACACAAGGCAACTAAAACCAATTACTCAGCAGGACAAAGAGGAAAAAATAAGAAAAATAACATGGAGAATACAACAAGGGAATACTAATGCTTAGCTTCTTTATTTACACTATAGTAAAAAAAAAAGTTTAGTGTAAGTGACAGAGAGAAGTGAGTTGAATCTAGTTAGAAAGTTTGAATAGCTACTGATCCAATCTCATAATACAGAATTTCGTGTGTACTGAAATAAAGAGTAAATTTACTTAGCATGAATTGTACATCATTGTTTTTAATGGTACAACAACAACAAAAAAAATCACTATTCATTTATTCATTTTCTAAATACCTTTGAAAGAGAAATTTTCCAATGATTATATACCTGGGCTTAATGAAATCCGGTCTGAAATCTGGAGACTTCAAACATGTGGAGAAATGTTCTCTGGTCTAATGAGAACAAAATGTAACTTCTTGATACAGAACTCTACATTTGGCAGAAACCCATCACCCTGAGAACACCATCCACACTGTGAAGCATGGTGGTGGGAGCATCTTGTTCAGTGTTAGCCTGGTCCTCTCAGCTGTTTCTCTGGCAAATCCCCTCTTTATCCATTCACTGAACTTTGGTGGACAGTCTCCTCTGGGAAGAGTCTCAGCTGTTCTGTCATAATCTTTCTATTTTTAATAAGGAATTTATTCGACCCTGACTGATACTTTTCCAGACCTTTGTCCTGGCCCTGTTTTGATCACTCCTTGGTCGTCATGATGCTGTGTGTTTCGGTATGTTCTCTAACAAACCCTGGCTTTTTAACCCAGGAGCAGGTGTAGATATATTGAGATTCTGATGAGAGCCAATTTAGGGGTGATGGGGTTAATTCACAGTGATTGGGGTTGAATACTTATGCAATCACAGCTTTCA